ATTAGTGCGGGTAGCGGGGAGTAGACGCGTTGTTACAGTGGTAAAACGGCGAAATACAAAGCTCGGAGCAGGTAAAAGGTCTAGGTCGGTGTTTTCTACTTGATAAATCACTTTTGAAAGAGAAGGCGCTCTCCGTGACTGTTCGCGGGTCGGTGCTTTGACCTGTAAGTTACGCTAACTTTGGCTCATAGACAGCAAAAGCACCTGGTGCATAGAGTGCTAAGCTTGCTTAAGGAAGCAGCCGAATATGGGAATGCCCCGTATGAGCCGAACAGCCCTCGGCTGTGCTGCCTGGCCAGGTAGGCAGGAGTCCTTCAGCCTTAGGCTGACCCAGAAGTTGGCTGAAGAGCAGGAATACTCTCCTGTCCGTAGAAGAGAGTGTGGTGAAAACAAGGTCTTGTGTAGTTAAGTCCTCTCACGGACTTAAAAGAAGTGCTTTTGTGTAGTTACTTAGGGATACAGTTGCCAGTAGTTTCTTTATAAGGACCTTAATTAGCATTCCTATTCTTAGATTTCTTTCAGAAACCCTTGTAGCTGGCTAATACATACACATTAATCATGCAAGCTTAACATATATGATGAACTTGGCTTGATGTTTCTCCAAACGCTTACCTAATTACACAGTTGTAATAGGATTCAGCGTTTTGTAAGTTAGTTTTTTATATATATGTTTGTCAATTTATATATGATAGTCCTTCTTGTATTCAAGGTTATTATTTAGTTTTATTAGTGCTGCTAATTATAACATTGTGCTGGATAAAGTTCGTAACCTTTTCAGAATTTACATAAGCATTCCCATTTTACAACTGGGGAAAAAAAAATACGAAGGCGCATTTCTGTCCAGACATAGATAAGAATGGCAGTGATCCCTTTCCATTTATTTCGGCCCTCCAGATGAAGAGTCTGAAGTGTGAACAAATGTTTCGGAATGATTATTGAAACACCACAGGTACAACAGGAAATCTGTGCATTTTGCAAGGAACACTAACAATATGATGAGAAAGTGGATCGTGGTTATCTTTAAAAATATATTATCTTTTTGGACCGAGGTAACCTATTTAGTAGATCAATTACGTTTTGCTATCTAGAGAAACTTGACAAATCTGTTACGAAAAGAGGATCTTACTCCCATTTGGCAAATCAAAACGAGCTACTGATCTGATATGCCCATGTAGTCTTCATGATTTCACTAGGTCCTCAAAAATCAGTGCTTTGCCATGTAGATGTTTAAAAAGAAAAAGTGACCGATGAACCAGAATACCAGGATTGGAATTCTGGTTCATCTGACTGATGAACCAGGATTAGAATCTGCTGGTTTTAGCAAGTCATAAATCAGTGTAGGTCCTTTATGCGTAAATACCATTGAAGTTAGCAGCAGGATATGCCGTATTGATAATGCTTTAAATACTGCTGCAAAACACCAAGGAATTAATCATGTGGGTTTGTGCTCCTCTAAAATAACAGAATTTATTTTCCAACTAGTTACAATTACAATTGTTATTGCTGACGATACAATTAAAAATTATTCTAAATCAATAACCATGGAAATAATTTGTACTGGCAGAAAGATGCTTTGTGTAGTAAAATTGCATCAAACTAGAAGTTTAATTATTCTGATTAGAGGTAAGACATTTTGTTCCTTGCGCTGCTGGTTAAAATAAATACCCTAGTAGAATTTCAGTGTAGCTTAGTCTTTCCCTGTTCATGCATGTCCTGTAGTTATTGGAAATCTGAGCAGAGTTTTGCTGGTATATTGTAATCTTTTTTTCTTTCTCTCTTTTTTTTTTTTTTCGTGTTCCTAAAGCTGAATTACAGATTGCTGAAGCCGTTGCTCTTGTAGATACCCTTCAGAACTGGACGGTTTTAGATAAAATAATTATTCCTACAAAAAATCCAGACAAGAAGTTTATTTTTGGCAAAGGAAACTTTCAGGTTTTGACAGGTAAGGACTGAGATTTTTCAGCACTGCGTCATTCTAAACGGAAGACTTCTGCAGCAGAACTGGTTAAGGATAGGTATGAAAGCTGAAGAGAGAGAATTTTGCTTATCTATCTTGCAGGTTTGCAAACAAACTTCAGAGAGTTTTTTTAAGGTTACAAAAGCAACACAGAATAGAAATAACCCATGCCCACTGAAAATGTGTGAGGCAACTTAATCCCTATGTTTATGTGATTGACGTAAGTGAAACTGGCAGCTGTTTGACATAGTACTAAATACAGCTGTTCTGTGAACAAAGAATATGATGCCATTTGATATTCTATGAGCATGCTGCTCAGTGCAAAATGGTTTTATATTCTGTATATTTTAAAAAGAGAATTGACATTTAACACTGTATTTTGTAATGGTTATCCATCTTTTAGAAAAGATTAAAAAATTGCCCCATGTGACAGCTGTCTTCTTGAATGTGGAAAGAATATCTTCACTAACAAAGGTAATTAAATATAATATCAAATCATATTCTTTACATCAGTATTTTTTGGAGGCTATTGGCGTTATGAGAAGTAGGGTCGGTTATGACTCTGAATTTGCAAATGGTAATATATGAAGGCACCTGGACTGAGTTTTGTTGAAAGGAAACAATTCCTATTACATTTGTCCAGTTGATACGTGTGTTTCCAGCTCTCATGCATGAAATTTTCCAGCAGCCTAACAGACGTTTAGTATAGACTCTGCTCCTGCATTTGGCACTGGCTCTACTTAAAATGTTGGAAAAGTTACTCAATGTCTTTTTCACAAAATGGAGGTGATGACACAGCTTTTGTTATGAAGAATGTCAACACTTTGATTTAGCTATATGCACAAGTTTCTATACCTATATGGATAGTGTATTTTCCTGTAGTTCTGTGGATGCTGTATTGTATTTTGAATATGAGGTGTAAATTCAGAGCAAGATTACATTTGAATGTTTCAAATACTTAAACCTTCATTCCTTAAAAACCTTAAAAAGAATCTGTATTTTAAATGGATGGCTTATGTTGAGGGGAGGAACATGCTTCACTTTTTTTAACACTGGCAGTAAAACAACTGGTGCATGAACTATAGATGCTCTTTGAAATGCTTAGACAAACTAAAATAAATACTTCTCAGGTTTTTGGATGTACAGCATCATGCAGGGTATAAAGTGCATGCAAACTCTGCAAGCAAACATTATGCTTTGCTGGTAGTCTTGAATGTTTTCCCCCATTATAAAATGAACTGAGATGGTAAGTATCTCAAATAGATAGTTATCTTGAGCACTTGAATTTATTGATGAAATGGAAGCTGAAAATATTTCAATTTCCTAGTTTTTATTCCCTAATTTATAGTATGAGTACTTTTAGTACTAGATTTGCTAAAAAAAAAAAAAAAATTATTTTCACAAATGTAGATCTTAAGAGCAGTTTAACAGGGTTGATTCAAGAAAGTGTTGGAGAACATGTATAAAACAAGCATTCTGGATTTTAGAGATGGTAGAGGGGAACTACTGCATGCTTTAAGTGTCTTTTGCTGAATTAGAGCAAGGGTGGGGGTTTTTGGTTGGTTGGGGTTTTTTAAGCATTTTGTGAAAAGCTGGTTATGAAATAATTTTCCTGCCTTCCTCTCTTTCTCATTGTTTTTAGTTTTGGTAATCTTTTTTCTTTTCCTATGTTATCCCTATCCTTTCCCATACCAGCATTTCATAATTATTTTTTGCAAGGACTTAACCACTGAGCTTCTTGATTCTGAGACGTGCTGTAAGAGCTGTTGTCAGAATCTATTAAAGGCAATGGAAGGATTCTCACCGAATTTGATGGGCCTAGATGTAAAGTTATACCTTGTAAACTCTTCACCTTTTGTCGTGGTCAACCAAATTTTGCCTTTGCATGGTCATAGTTGTTACCCATCCATTGCAATGGAATCCTGAGATCCTCTGAGTTCAAGTGTCCATCAGCTAACTATAACTGTAGTGCTGTGTAGGAATTGATCTACCGATACTGTGGGGGACAGAAAACATCTAGGTTATTTTGTCTTACATGGTTAAAGAAAGAACTAGAAGATGCCTGGGGCGTGAAAGTCTTTGACAGATACACAGTTGTACTTCACATTTTTCGTTGTAATGCCCGGACTAAAGAAGCAAAACTTCAGATAGCATTGGCCGAAATTCCGCTTCTCAGGTACCTCAAGCTGTGCAAATCACATACTGATATTTACATACTTTAGTGACTATTTCTTTACAGTAACAAAAATGGTAATACTGTACTGTAAAGAAAAATGATGCTATTTCAGTGCTTGCATAGTATGCTTAATGATCGATTAGAGCATAGAAATATTTGCTTTAATGTCTTTGTTTTAAGTTTCTGCAGTGCTGACAGACAAGACAGAAAGTGTTCAATAGATAATCTTAAAAAATATATTTCTCATGAAAAGGTCCCAGTTCTTTCTAATGCAGAAGATGGATTGCAAGAATGTGTAGGAATTGGATATGTGTATCCCATATATAATATTGATGGGTTTAACAAGGAAAACTATAAACAAGGAAGATTAAAGCCATTACTTTGTATCTGTATTTTCCACATTTCTATATTACATGGCATGGAAATACTTGTACATGGAAGTTGGTGTGAGTTGCATGGATTTATCAGAGGCATCTTTGGCTCCCTGAAATTTCAGAATATCCATTGTAATTTTCTAAAAGAGTTGCATGATTTTTCAAACCACAGTTGAGGAGCCAGGAAAATCTGGATTTTTTTTTTTTGCCAGGCTTCTTGCCACGAGCAGGTTTTATTTAGAGTTCTCTCATTTAGTGGTTTTATTTGTACTGTTAGAATATCACTACTGCTTCACATTTGTTAGGCATTTTAGGATAGCTTGATTATAGAGAATTGCTTCTAATTAACTGTTACTCCACTGCCAGGTCAAATCTGAAAAATGAGGTGTCTCAGCTAGATCAGCAGAAAGGTGGCTCGAGATACATCATGGGTTCAGGTAAAGTCTAAATGTTCTCCTGAATTAGAGGATTTTTTTTCTCCATAGCCTTTAAACAAATTTAATTGCATGTTATTTTATTTGGAGGAGGCCGGGAGGAAAAACTCTTTATGTTCTGCATCTAATTAAGTGAATGTACAAAAATTTATTGCAAAGTAACTTTAAATAAAGTTTTGGTCTGTACTGGCTCAGTAAGTGGCCACGGACCGAGTATTTGCTCCCACAGGGGTTTATCATAAGTGTACATGGTTATTCTAGAGTGCTTAGCATATGTTTTAATAATTACTTATCACTTTGACTCTATCTTAGGCAAGAATACATTCTTTTAGTCGCTTATTTATAACTTCATATGCCCTAGTGCTAACTCACTTGATATGCAAATGCACAACATCACTTGGTTTACTGCTTCTCTTGTAGACTAGTCTGCCAATTATTCATTTGTATTTTTCAGGTGAAACATTCATGGAGACACAGAATCGTGTCTTGAAAGAAAAAGAACTTAAAATTAGGAGTGCCCTGGAGAAACTAAGAAGAAAAAGGTCTTTACTTAGAACTCAGCGCAGAAAACGCGAGTTTCCAGTTATCTCAGTAATGGGCTATACTAATTGTGGTAAGCAAAAACTCGTGCAATTGTAACACAAAAGACCTTACATTTTCTAATTTTTAATTAGAAACTCTAGCCAGAATCTCATTTCAGTGTGAATAGGCTTTGTGTTTTAATTAGTTTTTAAATTGTGTAATGAATATATGTCAAGTAGGATAGTTAGGAAAGCACATGATGCTTGTTGTAGTTAGTTTTTGGGTTTGTTGGGGTTTTTTTCAGTCTTGAAGACATGTTTTGGAGAAATGCCTAGCACCTATTGTGCCAAAAAGATTTTATATATAGTGCTGAAGACTGTACTGCTAGTGTCCCTTTATATGAATCTTTCTTACTTGATCAGAATGGGTAAAGAAAAGTACATGGGTGTTTAGATCACTGTGAAGGCTTGAGGCACGGGAGGAAAATTCAGGAGAGTTGGCAGTTGATCTGAGAAATGTGCTTAAGAAGCACTGTAGCTATTAATTAATGTATGGTGTTCTGAGATGTGTTCGTAAGAGAATCTAAATAAAGCTAAAGTGTTTTTTTTTTATAGCTTACACAAGTGAATTCATACACAAGGCATAAACAGACTTTGGACTAGACACTTTTTTCAGCTTACATTATCTTAAGACCATTTCATTTTCTTGTTCAACATCTTTATAAAAACAAATTTACCTTGCACTAGTTTTGTTACCAGTTATATACTCAAAGATTTGGATTGCGCTGTATGTTTTTCTTAAATGTCATACTTTTGAAACTGAAGGTTCAACAAAATATATACGTTACAATTTTGTGCACGTAATTGAAATACTTTAACTAGGGTATATACTGAGCACTTTTAGTTTAGCAACTAAATTCTGTGAAGTATTCATTGACTTAAATAAATGTCTCCAGTATTATGTTCATGAGGAAACGTCCAGTAAAAGCATAAACCTAATAAGCTACATATTATTAGTGCTTCTGTTTATTGTCAGATTTAACAAGTAAATATTGAATTGTTTTATTTGACAACAGAAGCACTGAGGAGTACTTAAGTGTATGCTTCCTAATGCTGTTGTGGCAGCACTCTTCAGATAGTCTTAGAGGTGAGAGATGTGGGTAGGTCAGTTCAGTCTTTGATCATCTTGTGATTTTGCAGCATAGCTTCCAGGCATGGCCTTAAATCCAATTCCACGTTACAAAAGTTAAGACTGTCTTTGGATTTCCTAACATCATATAGATCATTAATCATAGGCTAGATTTAAATTAGTGAAATAGATATGAAAAGATATGTTACATCATACAACTCACCTGAGCCTTGCAAATCAAATTTTTACTTGAAACAAGCCATTAAAATCTTGTCCTGTTTCTCTTTAATTAGGAAAAACAACCTTGATCAAAGCCTTGACTGGAGAAGCAGGACTTCAACCCAGAGATCAGCTGTTTGCCACTCTTGATATTACAGCCCATGCTGGCTATCTGCCCTCACATATGGCAGTTATTTATGTTGACACTATCGGGTTTCTGACTGATCTTCCACATAATCTGGTTGAGTCCTTTTCAGCTACATTAGAAGAAGTGGCTTACTCAGTAAGTATTTGAGTATAAAAATTGAGAAATCAAATTAACTGCCTTTTAGATAATCCTCACCCCTTCAAAAAAGGGGAAGGTAATTGGCATGCTGTTCTTAATGAAGTATCTGGCTGACTATAGTAGTCTCCTAAGGTAAATATCTTACCATAAGCCAATTTTCTGACACTTGAAATTATGCAGAATATATAGATATGAAGAGATTTCAGAAAGGGTTTATTTGGAGTATATGTGTCCTTCTCCATGATATGTAAACCAGATAAATCAGATTTTGCTGATCAAATATCTGAAAGCCTAAAACAGTGCATCAGAATAAGTTGAGGCTAGCTTTCTTGAGAGTTAAAAATGAAATAAAGCCTCTGGAATGATCTGGTTTTAACTTAAGGTTTCCTATAGCACTAAAAGTGGGTGACTGTGATGTGGTGCAGGCAGCATGTAATAATATAAATGTACTTTTCCAATCATTTTCTCATTGAAGTCAGTTTCCTGTGTTACAGCAAAGTGTAAAGCTGCATATGCACAGACATTTAAACAAAAAGCCTGTATCGTCAAAGGTAGTGAAATTCAGTGGTAGCTGGATGCCGGAATGCTTCTGAGGATTGGACTCTTCACCGTGTAATAATAGGACATTCAAAAGCTGGCTGCAACTATCCTGTTTGTCTCTTATTCTGAAGTGTTAAATGAAAGGCAAGAAATTTACTTCTCACTAATTTTCATAGAATCATTTAGATTGGAAAAGACCTTTAAGATCATCCAGTCCAACCATTAACCTAGCACTACCAAGTCCACTGCTAAACCAATTAAGGTTGAGTAATAATCAATTTTCAGAAGCTGGAAGCAGTATCTTGAGCAAAGATTGAATGCAAATATTGAATTTGGTTCCTTGATTTTTATCATGGCAAACATGATCATGTATGTACTTGAAACTGATAACTTTTGTATAAAGCTTTTGAAGTGAAGCACCAGTAATAGTATCTCGGGAGCCTAAGAGTAAGGACAAGGAGAATCTTCTGCATTTTGTATGTCAAAATAGAATTACAAGTTACATGGGTTTTTTCCCCCCCATTTTTGAAACAGTTTTTCAGCCATTACTTTTCTAAAATTTTTTTATAGCTCACTCTTTTTCTTCTCTAGTATTTTTGAAGCCATATTGTTGCACAGCCTTGGTATTGAAAAATTAGATCAGTTGTTATTTGAAATCTGAATTCTGTAACTAGCTTGATTGACAGGGTTTGTTTCAGGGTTGTTGGAGGCAATTTGTACTCACTGAAGTGAAAGACTAAGCTGCTACAGATTTTCTTCCATCATGGTACAAAAACCAGTATTGATTTAATACTGTTTTAGTAGTTCATTTTACAGTGTTAACCTGCCAGTGTATTATCTAATGAATAGGAAAAGAATCTTATATGAATTAGCAATGCAAAAATAGTATAAAATCTCTACAACTTGGTAGCTGTTGTGTTTCATTAAGTAACTGTCTTGCATATTGATACTTGCTAGGATCTGATAGTTCATGTGAGGGATATTACTCATCCAGAAACCATCCTCCAGAAAGCAACTGTTCTGTCAGTTCTGAAGAATCTTAATATTCCCAGCCATTTATTGGACTCAATGGTAGAAGTTCATAACAAAGTGGATTTGATAGAAAGGTAAGCAGGAGATGCTAAGTGTACTTAAACATCTCTTATGTTCTGGAAGCTTTTTAATTCTTAGTCTAGGAAAGAATTCCGACACTTCTGAATACATTTAATAGTGTTTCTCAACCTTTTACATATGTAATGAAGGTCTTAAAAAGAATTCATTATCATGTACTTACAAAAGAGATCACTTGAGTCATACAAGAAGTGGCCTCTGTAGGAAAGTGTCAGTATAAAGTAACACAATTAAATTGTCCGTGCTTGGAATATTTTCACAACCTCATCTTCATGAGTAAATGTGCTAGCAATTGTTACCTTTCAGGTATAAACCCACTGAAGAAAATGCTTTAGCCATTTCTGCTCTACATGGACATGGTTTAGAACTGCTGAAAGAAGAAATAGAGAAAAAAGTTTTGACGGCAACAGGGAAGAAGATTCTGACAGTTAACATCAACTTAGAGGGACCTCAGCTAAGGTAAATAACTTTGAATTTTAAGAAGGACTTGGAGAAATATGAAACTCTTAGTCTTGCATGGTTTACAATTTCCAAATCATATCATATGGATTTTAATCTGCATTAAGGATTACAGGGATAATTATCAAAGTTTTCTGGCCTATTGAGAAAAAATACCCCCATTAGATACCCTGGAGTCTGCTTCTGAAAGTGTCCTTCACAGAATTCTGTGTGTTAATAGAATGAAACATGCTTCCTGAAAGACCATGCCACTGGTCCTGGAGCCAGAGTTCTGATAAAAACACAAATCTGAAAGATTTATGAAATTTATGAAAAGTGAAGCACTTCATCTTTTGAAGTGTTAAATTACCTAGATTGGAACATGTTGACCTAAAACAAAGATCACATTTTATGCAGTATGTCATACCTTTAAGATGCTAATATGCTTTTACTTCCACAGTTGGCTTTATAAAGAAGCAACAGTTCAGCAAGTAGAAGTCATGCCTGAAGACGGCACAGCCAGGGTGAAGGTGATAATCAGCAGTTCTGCTTTTGGCAGATACAAAAAACTCTTTCCTAACAGTAAGATCTTTATGCCATGAAACTGCATCCTTTTCTAGGAAAAGAAACTGATGTCATTAAAAGGATGTGAAATGAAGTTAATGACCTGTTAGCCTGGGTGCTGAACAGTGTATTTCTTCCCCAGTTGATGTTTTTGATGCATTTTAGAAATGGACACTGTTTCAGAAAACTTCTGTTTGGAAACAATAAGAGCTTTGAGCTTTGTTCTGTCAGCATGCACAAAGGAAAGCGCTAAATTTTTAATGTTGAAACAGTTGTTGGCTTTAAGCTGTGGACCCTCAGACACATGGAAATCACTGCATCACATCTGAATTAACTTCAGAAAAGTACCAAATTTCTTATATCATATAAATAAAGCTTTTTACCCTATTTTTCAGAATAAAATAATATTTAAGGTCCTTGGAAAATGAAAGTTAGTGAACAAAATGTTGTTGGCTGTATATAAATATGTATGTAAGTAAAATAACCACCATGTCTTATTACAGTGAAGCAAAAAACCACAGCCTTGTATATTTAAAGCAATAAATAGTTAGCTGTGAACATCTTACTTGTACAGTTTTCTTGCCTACAGTAATTTATCCACAATACCTATTACTGTGTCAGTTCTTAAATATTTTCTCTTTAAGGTGCAGCAAACCATGGATTTTGTGTGAAACTATTTCACAAAGAAAAATAAAAACCCAAAACCTGATCCATTACCTGAGTTATTAATTACTACTGGGAACCAATAAAACAATCAGTATCACAGAAAGTAGAAGCAAAACTATTTTCATCCGTATTACACAAAAAGATCAAGTTTTATTAGACAGAGTAACAAGCCACTTGAGGGTACAAAAGATAAGCAGAAAAACATTCTGAGTATCGTATAACATAACACTTCATGCAGGTAGTGACTAAAAAAAAAAAAAGTCAAAACTGAATGACTGCTCAGTATGAAGTACATAGAGCAAAAGCAAGGATAAAAAGCACTGTAAAAAAGCATTTAGACAGTCGTCTTTATAAATGGAATGTTTGGTTTGTTACTCCTACATATTCTGCAGTTAGAGGAGATTGCATGAGGAGGTAGCATCTTAGCCTTTCATGCTGAGAAGTCTAGGGTGAGTTTGATCTGTCAAGAAGCAGTTGATTTCAAACTCCTGCAAATACCAGCTGCAAACGTGAACATCTTGCCAGACATTTGAACTCAGCTTTTGCATATAAAGTGCATCTAAAAAGTGAGGTATATTGATGAAGTGGCATAGTGAAATTTATACAATGCCTGGTTTTTAGTCCCAATGCTTGCCATTTCTCTTACTTTCAAGACCATCTGTTATTGCACTTTTCATTTAAAAAAAGCAGAAAATAGAATTAATACGCAATGGCAAACAAAAGTTAGCTAGTTTGCTTAGTTTTTACATAAGCAAAAAACTTATTGAGAGGAAAAGTAACTATAGAGCTACTAAAATAGGTAAATAAAAGACCAGTTGTGAAACCCCAAATGAGCATGACAGAAGTCAAGAATCTGTATTTTTTTTAGAGCAGTCTGACTTTAGATAAGGCATTTGTTTCATCTGTGTTTATTATCAATGTAAGGCATATTTTGGCAACACCTAATAAAACATATTTCATTACCACAGACAAAACCGTCTAGGGGGCCTAGTTTTGGTATCTTTATCACTACAGAACTGGCATGAGTGATAAAAGAATAAGTGTTCAAATACACATATCTGTTACGAACCAAAGAATTTTGTGACTACCCTGTTGGTAAGGTGGCTCACAACTGATACTTGGCACACAACAACAGCACAGCTGTTTCTAGATCTCTAGTGTTAATGAGGTATTGGGGTATATATAAAAATCATATCAAATAGAGACACTGTATAGACAATCCTGATATATCAAAAGTATTTTTAAATTGTTACTTTTGTATACTTGACACAAACTGAACCCAGACACATCAGATTCACACTGATAAAATACTGAGAATTGGGGTTGCAAGTAGTGCAGAGTATCTTCACAATTATGAGAAAGATACAATCTTATCACAAAATAATTCATGCAGCTACTGACATACTTCTCCTTGCTCATATGTAAAATAAAACAGGATTAAGTTCTTGGGACTTTCAGTACTGCCAACTGCTACAGAATCTAAGCATCTCTAAGTAAATTATACCTATACCGTAGTTCTCTAGAGACTTCAGCCAGGTCTGCCTGCTCTCTTTTCTGTAAAAAGGCCTTGAAACCCTGATGATGTTGAAAGCACTTTTCTTAGTCTTTAAAACATCCCTGGTTTAAGTTAACTGGACCTTTATGGGATCCAGGAGGTTTAAACCAGGACACATTAAACGCAGACAAAGGCTTTTCAGCTTTTCACAGATTAAGCAGCTCAGAGTGAAATGCTATTTGTTCCAGCCCCTTTACTTTGACAGTGTAATGGAGGATTAATTTTTGTGTTAAGTTCTATCACATCTTTGACAAAATCATCGTTTTCTATGAAGTCTCCAGCAATGATGTTAATACAATCTTTTTTTTGTCCTGGATACTGCTGCTTTATCCAGATTTTCAAGCATGGGAGACTCTGGAGTGTCATCTTCTTCAACGATCCAAATGGGTGTACGAGAATATACCTTAAATTTTCCGTAAGGTTAATCCCCGCTACAAAGAATTTTTCTGAAACAAAAATCAGAAGGTGACACATTAAATATTCCTGTGAGGAGAACGGAAGCTGCTCAGCATTGCACTAACTCCAGATCTCATTCCTCTGGGAATCATTAAAATACTAACTTTACAATCTTTCTGTATTGCTTCATATCCCTAGAACTGTTTCAGTAGACTCCCCTTGTTGCAACTGCGTGCTATAGTAAATAGTTACTGAACCAAGCTCGGTTATTGAACCCTTCCAGTTTAGCTAAATTTAAATTACTCATTGCAGACTAAAGGTTCTCTACTAACTAGTCCTCCTTTGTCAGTTATGTTTGGTTTTGTAAGGGTTGCTTCCAAACGTTTAGCCTTCCCCCGAGAGGGACAGGAACACAGGGTGCACCTACGCGAGCGTTTTGCTTTGGCGGGGGAGCGTGCTTTTGAAGCAGTTCTCCCCTTCGGCACATCACGGAGCTGCGTCAGAGGTTACGAACTGAGTTTCCTTCAGCTTAGACTACACCAGCGTGCCTGCGTGCTGCCATTTCCTGATGAAGCTACAGCCTTCAGGCACCGTTCTTGTAGGGGTTTCTTTTCACGACAAGGCCAGCACAATGCATTTCCCTCGTCATCAGTGCTGCCAAAAGTGGCAAGCACGGGGTTGAGGAAGCAGTCTCCTACCCGTGAGACGGGCACGACAGCGCCAGCAAGCTGGTCTGCGCTGAGGGCTTCCTTTCCAGAACCACCTGCCATAATTTATATAGTCTATGCATGGACGTACAGCGACGCGTCTATTTGCGCCACCGAAGCTGAACGTTGCGCTCGCCCACGGGTGGGCAGAGCACTCTGCAGCACGGGCGCATCTTGTGCGGACAGCGTGCACGAAGTGGTTCCATCCCGTAATGCCGTGATCGCCCAACTTCCCATTTGTTTTGCATTGCGGTACGTGCCCCTTGTCTCCTCCGAGTGACTCCCTGTGCCTACCTGGACGGCCCATCCGCTTCATGCGCTCTAAGTAATGGATAAGAGCGCGGGTGGCGGTTTTGTTTCCCCACCAGTACGGGATCGCGGGCCACAGCTCGCAGTGCTCCTCCACTTCCACGTCCTCTTCGTACGAGACTATAAGCTGATGGCCACGCTGCCACATGGTCCGCAGCGTCGGCACCACCTACGAGAGAGTGTGCCCAGGTTGAAGTCAACACCACAGCAGCATTCCCAGAGTTCAAATACTGACGTGCGACGTTGCCTTGGTAGAGAGGCACAGATTCCCTTCAAATAAAGCTTTTAAGCGTGCAGCCCAGCAGGTTGTTGGCTGCGTTACAAGCTGCAGGGGCAACGGGAGCCTGGGAACTTCAGCAGATTCCTCCTTTCCTCAAACAATTCAACTACGGTAAAGTACAGAGCTCAAGGTCTTGCGCCTGTGTAAGAAGAAACCATCCCCGTCTCGTCCCTCGTACGCACACCGCTGCTGGAAATTTGTCGGGAGAGGAAGATGCAGGCCACTTGGTGAAAGAGGGGGGCAAAGGCCTACGCCGTAGGAAAACAGACACAGAGGAGCAGGAATAATTTTGTCAAATGCCCCACACCGATCCAAGTTTGTCGCTGTAGCCATCAAAGAAAACTGAACTGCTTAAGACTTGGTAAGACTAAATCTAAGTCTTCAAGAGAGATGTTAATCCTGATTTCTCTAAGTGTAAAGTTTCTGAAATTGGGGTGCCCCAGATGTTTTGAATTGAGAGAGGGGAAGACTTGACTCAGAAACCTTCTCAGACAGACAGACGGGCTGAAACAGGTCTGTTAAATTTAAGTGTTTCAATATGAAATGATATTCTCCAATCCTCAAAAGTTACCGTCGGACAGAATTGAGGCCCTCTGACTAGTTTTATTTGCAAAACCAACGCATTTAACAGGTACTGGTTTTTTTAAGAATGTTGTGGTTAAAAGCTGTGTCTGTTGCTTGTGAAAAGGAAATGGTGGCTTTTTCATGTTCCAATTAACGTATTAATTAAAATCAAAGCCAAAGGCAGTTGAAAATGTTTTATGTAAATCTCTGAAGAGAGCCGACGGTTGAATGAACATGGGAATCCTCCTTTCTTCATCCAAGAAAGAGAGTGCAAGCCCCAATTAGGTCAGAAAATACTGCAAAATTAAGACAAGCTACTCAAACTACAAAAATGTGTGGTTGACAGAAGCCTTTGCTTTACTCCAGCTGCCTTTCTAAAGCTGGAACCTGTTACAAAAAAAAATGATGTGGGATAAGAGCCAAAAAAACCAAAAAAAAGCTACCAGAAATGTGTACATGAGCACAGGTGCTTATTTTGTAAACAAAGCAGAAGTGAAACTGTAGATGTCTAACGAGATTTTTAAACCCTAGGAATCCAGATCAAAGGAAGACACCTTGAATAGTTACAGCAATTAAAATTTTAAATGCAAGGTAATGTTGTCGTGCTGTGGCCTGTGCCAGTACTATGTACAGAGCTCTACATAGCAGTTGCTTCGTAAATACTTTGACACTTACTTTTGTACAACAGAGCTGCAGTCTCGAAAGACTGTAGATACCAGATTATTTTAGAATAAGCGAGGAAGCACTTGGTTATTTGATGTTAAATCTGAATCTGTGATCCTGAAAAACCCCACAGCCACCTAACCTGCAATGGTATCACTTGCAAAAATGGTGAGATCCATTGTGCTGGTCACAGACCCCATAGAAATAAAGTCTTCCTGCTTGACGGAAGTACTTGGCTTCTCTTTTCTCCAGTGCCCTTCCTCCCTCCCCCTGGACACAACTCAGAAACGTTCCTCTTTCTTCAGTCAGGTGATCTCAAACCATTCGTCCATCACCTTCATTCAACAAACTATCAGCAGCAGCTTGCTCCTTTTGCGGTTAATAACTTTTTTTCTTTTTAAGAGCTGGCCAAGCAAATTTGACCCTCTTCTCCAGTATTGCTCTGCTCATACATGACTTACGCACTCACGTTATTTGGGGAAACAATAAAACAGTGTCACTCAGGTCTCCAGTTATTCAGCTGAGGCCTGAATATTCAGAATCCCCTAGTTTTGCTGAGAATTGTTCTACTTTAACTCTGCTGTATGAAGTGCTTTGAAATGGTAATACTCACCCGTTACTGATACACCAGCTTCAAAGGCTGAATTCGAATCGCAAACAGGGTCATCATTATCCTGTACCCCTCACATCTCCAGAGAAAATCCTCTGTTCCTGTACATCTTTGAAATGTTAATTGTTTAACTACCAAAAGCTCCCACACCTTGTAAAAAAAGAGGAAGCTAAAAATCTCAGCTTCTAAAATTTAGCAATGAAATGATTTCTGATTATTTAAATTAAGGCTTTTCTGGAGGTTTGGGTGACTGAAAGCATATTAGGCTGGCTGGAAGGTCAGCTCCAGCTCACATCCAGGAAAAGAAAGTCAGTGCCACCAGAAATGCACTGAGGGCAGAGATGCTACTAAGAGTGACCTCAACAGGCTGGAGACATGGGCTGACGGAAACCTCATGAAGCTCAACAAATGCAAATGCAAAGTCCTGCACCTGAATGGACTAACCCCACGTATCAGGACAGACTGGGGGCAGCTGGCTGGAAAGCTGCTTTGCAGAAAAGGACCTGGAGGTCCTAGCGGACACCAAGCTGAACATGAGCCAGCAGTGTACCCAGGTGGCAAAGGTCAACTGCAAACTGGGCTGTATTAGTAAAGGCACAGACAGCAAATCAAGAGAAGGGGTTCTTCCCTTCTGTTCAGCAGTTGTGGGACCGCACGTCAAGTCTGGTCTCCAGCTGGGGCTTCCCCCGTACAAAAAAAGTCATTGACGCGCTGGAGTGAGTCCAGCAGCATGCAACCGGAGCAAGCAGAGGCTGGAGCATGACATGCAAGGACAGGCTGAGAGAGCTGGGTCTGTTCAGCATGAAGAAGACAAGACTATGGACAGGTCTGACTGCTGTCTGCAAATACCTCATGGGCAGATGTAGAGAAGACTCCTCAGATATGCATAGCAAAAGGATGAAAGTCAGCAGACATAAGTTAGAGCAAGAGAGATTCTGATCAGATAGATAAGGAAAACATGTTTACTGTGAGAGTGGTCAAATGCTGGACCAGGCTGCATAAAAAGGTTGTGGAATCTCTGTCCTCGGAGATATTCAAGAATGGATGGGACACAGCCCAACACAACTTTGAAGCTGGTCCTGCTTTGTTTTGCATGGTGGGGTTGGACCAGATGACCCCTAGAGGTCACTTCCAACCTAAACTATTATAAATAGCATAAAAATTCATTTATAATTATTGCTGTGAAAAGGCAGGAAATGGATTATTTAAATTCTACAAATATAGTATGGACTATATTTATAACACACACACACTTTTTTTTTTTAAAAAAGAAACAAAACTCAAGACAGGACAGTGGGTGACAGTTATGTTCCTACTATTGTCCCACAACTCAACAGACATGACGGTCAAACTTAATTCCCTCCTCCACACTGTGGGATGTAGGTTTGCTTTATCTCCTCGATTTTGTTAGGTGAAGACCTATCTCTGATGCAGCAAATGTTACTTTTCCTCGATTAAAAATACAGTGAAAGTAAAATATATCTAAACATTTGGAATCTAAGATCTCACCGTAATATATTATTCTTCAAAAAGGAGAAAAAAAAGAATCTCATACTTACATTTCTGGGACACAGTTTACACTGGAAAATCTCTTTTATACAGGCAATAAGATGACAATGAAGTTTTTCGGTTAATCCATCAAAATTCCTGCAGGCTAAGATAACAACTTCCTGAGGATGAGTTTCCAACCACCTTAACACTTCCCACAGAATATCCTACAAAAGAGAGTCACGGCAACTTAGAAAATCACCTATGCTATGCAGGGGAAAGGACATAAAACCAACAGAGCGCTGATGGTGGGGTAGACTCGCAATCACAATAATGAAAATCAGCGTAGGTTTCTGGAGGATGGCCATCTGACTGCCCACAATGTGGTCCAGAGACATGCACCCCAGGAAAATCTACTTTCTGCAGGTCTGTGCTGGTTTGCTCTGGATGTGGTTCTAGCATACTACACTTAACAGCTTTGTATTTTGATAATATCCATGAATCTCCTACTGCCTAGAGGCAGGTTAGCAGTAAACCCATCTCCCCAAGCTTCTTTAAGGACAAACAACGTATTAGTGGCAAACTCAAAACCAGGGAAAAGTTCTGTGCTTGCTTAAACGTAACAGCACCTGTTTTCCCCATTTGTTATGGGCAATGACAACTTCTTGAAGACCACATATAATTAGCAGAGCAGTCAGGCACTACATCTAACTGTTTACACGAGCATGCCAGGCACCATGAAATCTCAACACGTGAAGGGTTCAGCCTCACGAGCATGAAACTGAAGTTTAGCCAGTTAGTCTACAAATGAAAAGCTACATTAGCTGGCTGTGCCTGGCTGTACAGGTCCCAGCAAACAGAAAGAAGATGCAAACTACTCCACAGAGACCGAGCACATGCAAAGAGCAACTCACAGTAGTTTCTTCACAGCAGCTGACAATAATTTGGTCATGGGATCCAGACTTGAGTCTCTCTGTCTTTCAGTGAAATACTTTTTCCTCAAAAAAAAAGTGTTCCTGTGATTTTTATTAGGCTTTTAATACCTTCTCTTTAATAACTTCTCTCCTTACCGGGGAAACAGGATTGCCCTGGGCAGCATCCTAGGACAGCACAAAATAAATCCCAGAAACACCAGGCACTAGGTAGGGGCTAGGCAGTGGAGAGCAAGGCACAGCAACTCCGGTTTGAGGATGAGGACTTGACTGATGCTCCAGCCTCACTTGCAGCTGCTAAAACTAACTTCCAGCCCTGCTGATTTTCTGTAGTTTGAAGTCCTTACATTAGGAAAACAAATAACCTACTCAGAAAGCCTTGGGCCAGCATTTTCAGATTATGATGGCTCTTACATAAAAGAAACAGCACTGTTTTTATAGCCATCCCAAAGGTAAGGACAATACCTGTACAGTCACGGTTGTGTAAACCATATGCACGAAGTACAAATTCATAGATGGATCGTTAGCCTTGTGGGCAATCCTGAAATCCAGGTATCTAATTCCAGCCTCAAGCTGCTCCGTCACAGTCAGTACCTGAAAGGTGAAACAGAAGACAAAGGTCCTGAGAGCTTGGAAAAGATTTGTTTCTTTAGTTTAGAAAGCTGAAAAAGGTGTACAAAGTTAGCCCTATAATGTTTTTCACAGGCTTTTCATCTTTAAAATGGCACTATATGGCACCAAGTTGGAACTTGGAAGTATTTTACTCTCTGACAAGACGGATGCCAATTTCCCTGCAGCGTATACTGCAGGTACAGATTAGACTAGTTTCAGAGCTCTGCCCTTGTGTTCTGAAAAGTTAAAAATCCATCAACCTGTGCGTAAATACACGTTCGCTCTTCACAAGACTATTTGTATGAACAAAAATTGCAGGATCAGCACCTTAGAAATGCTGTATTTATTTTATTAGATCAAAGAAATGGTTGTCTCTGTGGAGCTCACTCATCCTCAACAGAAGGAAAAACAAAAATAGAAAGAAGTACTGGCTATTTTTCTTTTTCAAGACAAAGTCTCTTAAAAAGTTTGAATTAACATGTAGAAGTCCTACAAAACAGAGGTCCTCCTCTGTTTCCACGTCCCTCAGACCTCTTCTACTGGATTTGAGGGCTGAATGGAACAGGTGATAAAGCTGAGTTTCTGGGGCAAAAAGTCCCAAATGATATGTCTCCTATCTATATCAAGGCTCTCTTTGCATAAGAAAATAGAATCATTTTAATTAAATACGTTTAAAGACTAGTTTGTCTCAGTTCAACCTGCTATGGACAACACTTTTAGGTTTCAGAAAGCATACGCTGTACTGGATTAAGTCAGAAAGGGTTCAACAAAAGCAAAATCAATACAAGGCATTGCGCCTGAATAACCACATCGCATCTTTAGGGCCAAGATAGAGCTTAAGACACATAGCAGGATGTTCACCCTACCTAGCTTCAACCATCCAACTTTCTGTTCTTAGGACGGCAATTTAACCTCCCCAGGCTGTGCCTGAGCTGCAGGGCTGGGGAGCAGCCCAGCCCCGCGTGCCCCGGGGTGCAGGTGGTGCGGTGGCTCGGGCCAGCAGCTCCCTCTGCGCCTGCTTGGTCTCCACCGGGATGGAGCGGCTGAAGGAGCGATCCGTGCCCAAGTCCCACCTTCGCTTGGAGCACGCTGGAGAAGGGAGTGTAGATGGCCGTAGGGCACGTATAACCTTTGCGGCCAGAAAGAGCACCAGATGAAATAGCTGCTCTGAGCTGCCCTTTGGATGAATTAATTTCTTTCTGTTGACTGCATGGGAAAACTAGACAAATCAGACTATCTAATTAGTCGCCTGGGTTTGGATACTGAATCAGACAGTGTGAACATTGCCCCCCAGGGGCAAAATTTAAGAGGAAGCCTTGGGGAGCAATGCTGCTCAGTGCTGCAATCTCACACCAGACATCCACGGCATGAGTGGAAGTTACACACCTGACGTCAGCCATTGCGTAAGAAAGATTTGGGCCTCTAGACTGACACCCGTAACAGCCAGGGCTCAAGCCAGGCACCGCGCCCCTAGCCACCCGGGAACCTGCAGGTCCTACTATCGGTACGGCTCCGGGATGTCTGTTCTGGACAGCAACATGTGGAGTCACCTCCTCCCAAAGACAACGCGAGCACGGCAGAGCTAAGGAGGGGCAGGACTGCAGCCGTGCCTCTTCCCCATCAGCGCCAGGCCACTTCCCGCTCAGCGCGCTGCATTCGGACCAGTAAATGACTATAATGATATAAGGAGCTTATTTGTCACCAACAGGGTCACGTCACTGGGCAGCAACCCACAAGTTAGGAGGTATCCAAATCTTTCATTGGTTTAAGTCCCAAAGCAAAAAGCAGCTGAAGACAAGGCACTCTGCTAAGCAAGTGACTTTCCACATCTACTCATCACTGCCGTTACATATTTGATATCTGGTAGTGTCCAAGACTCCAGTTTGCCAGGGCTGCTTCAACACAACAAAAGAAGCCTAGGCATAATTGTTGCCATTTATCAATTATTCAGTTTTAATTCCCTAATAATGAACTACTCCTTCAATAAGAGCAAAAGCGGAAAGACTTTTGGTACCTCTTTGATGCCAGGAAAGTCTGTTCTTTAGAAAAATCTTCAAAAGCTCTAGCTTAAATCATGATCCCCAATTTTTTGTTTAACACACATTTGTGAGGAACAAAGAGAAAACTACTAGCTTAATATTTAGACATTTTAAAAAATTAACTAAACGTCACGTGAGGGAGCACACCTTCATTCTCTTAACCTTTATGGAAAAAAAAATACCTTCAACAAGATTTTTGTCTCTGCTGCTGGGTGAAATACACAATATAGATAGGGAAAACAACTGACATTTCACACAACAGTGATAGTAAAAATGATAACCGTTACCTTCTGAACAAAGTGCCAGAGAAAAACCTCTTTTGATTATAGTAATACTAAGTGTTATTTATAACAATAGACATGTGAAAAAGATGAGTTTCTAGTACTAAGTGGTCAGCTTTAAGCAACATCTTTGTCTATGTATCATCCCTGCCTCACCTACATGCTTTTTCCCCACAAAAGAAGATCTGGCACCTATCTCATACCCCAATGTGCTGGTTTTGGCTGGGACAGAGTTAATTTTCTTCACAGTAGCTAGTATGGGGCTGTGTTTTGGATTTGTGCTGGAAACAGTGTTGATAATTCAGGGATGTTTCAGTTATTGCTGAGCAGTGCTTGCACAGAGTCAAGGCTTCTCAAGGTGCTTCTCACCTCACCCCACCAGCGAGCAGGCTGGGGGTGCACAAGGATTTGGGAGGGGACACAGCCAAGACAGCTGACCCCAAGTGACCAAAGGGACATTCCACACCATATGACGTCATGCTCAGCACATAAGCTGGGGGAAGAAGGAGGAAGGGGGGGCATTTGGAGCAATGGCATTTGTCTTCCCAAGTAACCCTTATGCATGATGGAGCCCTGCTTTCCTGGGGATGGCTGAACACCTGCCTGCCACTGGGAAGTAGTGAATGAATTCCTTGTTTTGCTTTGCCTGCGTGCACAGCTTCTGCTTTACCTATTAAACTGTCTTTACCTCAACCCACGAGTTTTCTCCTTTTACCCTTCCGATTCTCTCCCCCATCCCACCGGGAGGGAGCGAGTGAGTGGCTGGGTGGTGCTTAGCTGCTGGCTGGGGTTAAACCACAACACCCAAGCACGGCATCTCATGAGAGTGCAGATTTCTGGGCAGCCCGCTGTTCTTTCACTACGCATGGAAGAGCATGACTGCTCTCAGCGCTGCAGCACAAGCCTCAACTTTGCCCAGGCATGACAAGAACACCAGACAACAGTTACCTGTGTTGTAGACCACTTCATGATAATGGGGTGCACAATGCAGGGCATGCATTTGTTTAAGAACTTCACCAGCTTGGATTCGTTGCCACTAACAGCAGAGTTTTTATCCAGGCAGTAGGTCATAGTGTCGTGACTCCCTGTAGAATACAAAAATAAATGTATAGAAAATGTCGTTTCTTAACTACTCAAGACCACAATACACGGTTATATTGCGTGTGTACACACGTGCCACCCCATTTCCAAATCACACGCCTATATTGCCTGCCAGCCTATGTAGTTATGGCAAAAAGGTGGGCTCTTCTTCAGAGGTTGCTCACCTGACATTAATAATTAGCATGAAATCCTCATGAAGGGAAGGCTTTTCAATAAAGCGGTCCCCATCTAAACCACGCATCATTGTTGTTTGCCCCAAACAACAACAAAATGGTCTGTGTCAACTACCATCTTCCACTGAAATAATTATCTTGATGTGAAAACCCACTTTTTTTCAGGGAATAAATAGCTGAAGGCTGAATTTATGTAGAATTTGTCCTGTTTTCAGAGTTGTTCAAATGCAGGATTTCATACTCAAATCCCACCATCTCTGCACAGGAAAATATGACTGAAAGCAGAAATTCATCTTCTCACACCTTTGACTGGACCAACTCCTAACGTGGCACTTCAAGCACTTCTATTTAAATGTCTGGTAAAAATGCCCTCCTGAACTAAACATCCACATCCCCTACAAAAACAACATAAGAGGTGGGTGCTGGAAGGTTTCAGAGGCAAATCCAAGTCTAAGTTTACATGTGATATATGAACAAGATCCACGTTTTATGGACTTTAAAAATTACCTGACTCTTTCCAGCACAGGGAATTACACAGGGCAGGCTAAGCATCAGAGCCAAGTACAGCCTGCCCAAATATTTGACTTCTTTGAAGTCTTAATAAATCTGACGCATCTCTTGCATCATATTTAGATGAAACTCTGTTGCAGCTCACAATTTCTTCAGGACAGGCAACCAGTGATTTTGCTAGCTTTTTCTGTTCCATTATTTCTTTAATTTTATAAAGCATCAATAAGAAAAGCTAACAACTCAGTGAAGTGACTTGCTGGGATCTTTACAGAGTATCTGCAAGGAATTCACATATCATTTTGGTTTTTAAGTTTTCTGTCAAACAAATTGTTCACTGGTGCTAGGAGCTGCTTTCTTGAGCGGTCAGTCTTACTGGTGCCAATGGCAATATTTCTAGTAGCTAAAGAAAAAGGACAAGATTGTATTTGAAATAAAGAAAATTCTTTGAAACTGGCAATAACAGTTTAATGTCTCACTCGATTTTTTTCGCCTTTTAAAATCAGGTTTCCATCTATTTTCCTGCTTTAAACACCCAAACCAAGCTCACTGCAGATGGAAGATAGATAATGAGGGCATGCAATCAAAAGAAGCTTGTCTCACAAGATGTAAGAGTCAAACCATTAAATATCCATGGACCAAATTCAGGTCTGAGAGAAATGAACAGGATTCCATTAATGGGAATTGCATCTACTGACACCAATCAGCAAATGGATAGTAACTTTTCATTCAGGAGTCTTCTTGTGACATCAGTGAGTTACAGTAATGAAAGGAAGATGAGTATATCCATGACACAACAAATATGATGCAAATATAGTGAGCTAGCACCAAACCAGGTCGCTTCAGAGCTTGAAGCAATATGTCCCCAGCAGCACTGAGCTGAACCTGGTGCAAACACAACACTAATTACTGAGACTTGCCTGTCTCCTCGTCATGCTTTCAGAATGCTCTCTCTCACATTTCTTGCATGCCTTATTGTCTTCTCTATCTGAGACAAGCTTCCACTTCCAAACTGGGCTTCCCCCAGTCATTGCTCCCTCTGAAAACCTGCCAGAGCTGTCTTGACCTGGTCGGTCTTGATCTGCTTTTGTTCTGACCTGGGCTAGACCAGTTTTGTAGGTCAGCTGGACAGCCACCAAAACTTTCCAAGCGAATAGCCTGCAATGGTCTGTAAAATGTTTGCCAAAATGGGCTTGCTTCAACTATTCTTTTCTTCATGTCTGTTCTCCATGCAGGCATATTCACAAACATTCACAAGAATAACAAGGTCACCATTAGGAGAAGAGCCAGGAAATCAAAGGCACACATCAGCAGGTTCTCAGCTTTCTACAATCTCCAAGAAACATCACTGTGAAAGCTTTTTAGAAACAACATGGTTCCTTTTCCACAAAAAAAAAACCCCAACACTGAGCATGCTACTGACTTTTTGAAGGATTTTTGCAAGAGCAACAAAAAAAGAAAAAAAAAAAGGAGAATATTACCTTCTTTCTTCTGTCATAAGGTAGATACCTTTTTCCCTTCTCTTGATGGTTAAATAAGAAATCTAGAAATTTTTTTCTAACATCTGTCCTGGGGTCCTCTTACACAGGCTTTATCCAAAACCAGAGGTGCGCTTGTTTTGAAGTTAACATCAATTTAAATTACATATCCAAGAATTCACCATGAAGTAAGTTTCTGGGTTTCAGCTTTAATCGAAACTCCACACTCTGTTAGTTCACGAAGGGCGGGGCGGGGGGGAGTGGAATCCACCACAGTTCTTGGGTCCTCCCAGGGCTCCACCCACTGGAGACGAGCTGATTTTTCCCCACTATCTCTAAATACGCATCTTTGCTAAAGTCAACCTATGATCCTGTAGCCTACATAAAAAATTCATCTACACGCTGTGCTGCTTTCCACCCAAACTACCTGTCGCATCTACGGGTGTGAGAGAAAACATGGGCTAGACTTTTCTTTAGTACCATTTTCATTGTGGAGGCAAAGGGAATCTCTCAAGAGTGGGCAGTCCTCCAGTGCCTCCCCATATGGCAGTGAAAACAGGTGCTCCCGTAACTTCTTTGGACAGCACGAGCGGAGGGGGGTGGAAAAAAATCATCTATTCAAGGCAGCAGAGAGAAGCAGTAATATGACCAAAGAAAGGCCAATGATACACAGGTCTGAATGCAGTACCAACGAGGACACCAGCTACAGCACAGCTGTGTTTACCCATAATAGGATAAATCCAGTTTTTGTAAGCAGGGTCATGCAGAAAAGTCACACTCCACATTAATAAAAACACATCTTAATTAGAAGTCTCCATCATCCTTTTTTCATACCTTCACAGCTTCTTTTAAACAGTACAAGGAAACAGATAATAAGGTAAAATGTTACTTCTCTCCTTTTGGAGCCCTTTTATTATGTAGGAAGTGGCAAGAACAAATTAGGAAAATCTCACCATTGCCCAGACAAGCAAACGCTGAGATAACTAACACTGATCTGACAAGATGATGCACAGGGACTGCAAAAAAGTCCCTCTTTCTTTCCTTCCCGCAAAAAGAAAAAAAAAAAAAAATCCTGTTTTCCCCCTTCCAAGAAACCCCAAACATTACAGACTAAAAGTATTTATATGCACACACACGTCACACAAACCCTCCCCCAAGTCCTTCTCCCACACACTGACCCAAATAATAAACGTAGCCATCCTGAAATGGGACAAACAGGATGTTCCAATGCTTAAATGACATGCTAACAAATCAGCGGAGAACAAAAGTTAATCTTTACCTGGAAGAGCTAAGTAATAGAGGGGAATATCCCAGAGCTTCTCTGGTAATCGTGACATCCATTGACCATTTTCACGGCACACATGAATGGAGGTTTGCAAAGGGCCTTCCATTAGTGCCTGCTCTAGGACTTCATAGGATGTGCTGGGAGCGAAAAAGAAGAGAAAAAGAACAAACCATTCCATATACTGTGGTTGAATTAATGCCATTGCATCTGCACAGAACGGATTTATACATGCTATAAAATGTCAACCCTTCTTCTTAAGTAGTTGCAGCAAAATGTCAAGATAGATATTCTCGGCCACAAGGTACACTGCTTTTGATAACACTGTCTCCCAGCACAATGCCAAGAGAGGGTTCCAGCTTCAGGCTTGTAAATTGACCAACTGAAAGAAAAAACAGAGTCAAGACAAATATGTGCAGCCTTGTTGGTATGGAGAAATTACTATCTACATTGGCTATTGCCCCATCATAAGGAGTACTCTACCTCCAGCGTGAAACAATGTCTGTTTCCTGACCCTCTGCAGCCCCGGGAGCATGGCAAGGGGACCGATGGCAGGGCCAGGGCAGGGGGTGGGTCTGTGACCCCCAGGTCCCTGGAGGACACTTATCTTGAAGCATCAATTCAGCTCCCACAACAATACCTCTATGAAAAGCCTTGGCAAAGATGTCAGGACATTGGATTTTCAGGTCATGCTGGCTGCCGGGGTTAAAGAGGAAAACTTCCGTCTTCTTATTCCTTGTTTTGAGAAGATCTCTTGATATCTGTTCTTATCACCCCTACTGAGCCCATGATCACAAGTACTTCAGTTTGGTCAGACCTTCCTGAAAACTACTCTGGAACTGTTCTTCTTGGATACAAGCCTCTCTGGGATCTCCTGCAAAATTTGCAATGGTCATGCAGGAGTGCCAGTGGATGAAACCCAGCTGAGAAATCACGGTCATCACCAGGGCCTACTAGAGTTATCCTGTTCATTTTGCATTTTATGTTCTCCTGGATGATGCAGAACATGAAGATAAGCTCTCCATGCCATTGCCATTTTTTTTTTCTAGGATGTTCCTGAAGTTCAGGTGGTGTTTTTGGGATGAAAGCCTTCCTTCTTCTCACTGTTTTCAAGGCTTTAGCTATTTTTTCACAGCTATGTAGTGCGATGCTTTCTTTTAGATCATGGCACAGTGATTACCTTTATCAATACCACACCTTCCTTTTTAATCCCTTTTTAAAAAGCTGTCACTGTAAATGATTCCTTCTTGCCTGCTACAGCAATGGCAGTCAGATACATATTTGTCCATGCTTTGCGCTCTGCCAAACATCCTCACTGGCCCCTGGTCACTTTTGCTGCATCTCGGCACATTCATTCCTGAAATTGCTTCTCCCCAAAGCATTCTTCAGGTTGCTTTTTGGAGGTGGTTGTTTTTTCTGGATTTACAAGTAAGCCCCACTGTTTATACGAAGAAAATTTCCTTAAATATGGTGCAATAGATTTTTTAATTTTTTTCCTGGGAGTCACATACGGTCATCTGAAAGGCAACTTTAGGAATTGCGTTCCTAAGTTTTATGTCCATACTGCACGTAACAGATATAATCTGCTTTTATATCTGCCAATGCACGTAGCATCACCTGCCTTACTGTGCCTTCGGTGTGGCTTTGAATTGGTCTCTCTGAGTACAGCCACCACAGTTAAGAAAAGAATGGGACCATGTCAGCTGAGGGAAACGCCCAGCACCCCTAGCACAGTGGCACACGTGTCCAGTGTGTAACCTGGGGCTCTCCTCCTGGTGAAGAGCAGCTACCTCTGAGCTTACCCATACACACAAGGCCGTTGCATAAGCAGGAAAGAAGTGGTTTAAACTCTCTCTTGCTCCCTTTGTCTCCTTATTTTAAAAAACAGATACTTGATGGGCCTAGTGCAAAGTCAAGTGGAAAAACTCCCATGGATTCATTTAGGAAAAAAAAAAGGTGCTGATCTTTTTGTCCTGAATAAACAAATGGTCTCTATATGCTGCATCTGGTATTCTTATTCTTGGAAAGAAGTTCAGATCTCAACCACATCAACCCATCCGTCCTCTGGCTCTGCAATTTAACATGCCGAGCTTCTACCTCCTGCACACCCCTTGCTCAGATAACAGATGCCTGTGGCTAACCTTGTCCCCTGTTGCTGTATTTTGTGCTTCCTCAGACTGCACACCACTGCTCACCCAGGACTGCTCCGCTCTAGTCTATGTGCCACATAGCATCAGCGTGGACAGGGGCTGCAGACGCTTAAAACAACATTGCTATTTAGTAGTTGCAACAGACTGGATGGTCTTTCTCCTTCCCCAGCTCTGAGGCTGACAGGAGCTGTGAGGACGCAACACTCCAGCATATGGCAGCACTTATGCGGGTCCTGTACACAGACTAGAAACCTAACTATCAGCACTGCTTTTCCTCTTTTCCTTGGGCTTCGCAGCTCCCTTTCCGGAGCCTCTGGGGCTGCCTAATTCCTCTGTTTCCCAAAGCTAGCCATGCCCCCCAGGGCAGGCACCCAGCTCCCCCATGAGCAGCAGGGACCCGTAAGCCCCACCGGCCAGCTGCACCTCGGCCCCGCACAAGCCCCTTTGCACCAAGAGCACTCGCAGGATGCGTCCAAGGGTGCAGGTTTACCTCCTGCCACCCTGTCCTTCCACCTCACCTGGGCTAACACAGGCACAGTCTAAAAGGAAAAAGCTGGTTTTCTGCCATGTTAGTCCCTCACACCAGTTCACCACCGAGTCAGGACAGCGCAGCGCTGGCCCACGCTGAGGAAGCCCCTGCGGAGCCAGCAAGCCCCGCGATCGGCTTTGCCAGGCTGTACAAGAGACCCCTCAGCGTTGCGCGGCCGAAGCCCACGGGCAGCAGTTGCTCAGCCTGCCACAAGCTGCCATCAATGCCCCAACCTCTGCGGACCAGGACACAAGGAGTGTCCTGCTGGGCCTGGGGAAAGCCAGCAGAGAGCCGAAACAGCAAGACCAAGGCACGCCGCAGTCCTGCAAACGCAGACACGTGAGAAATTCACATCTCATCCTCCTCCTCTTCTTCTTCCCGCCTTCCTCCACAGCACCCTGAGGCTGGGTATGGCAGGCACCGGTGGGG